TAATTTGGGTGTTAACCAATACAAGCTAGTGCTTACTTGCCTGTGTCTCCATTCCTCCCCCTCGGAGGGGCTGGTGGCTGACGGGTAGGTGAAGGTGTGGCCCGGCAGCGTGGAAGTGGTCTGGTGCTTGCCCTGTCGTAGCTCCTTACATAGCAGCAAAAATCAGTGAAGCTAAAGAGTACTAGAAGGTCGAGTAAAAAATGAAGTAAATGTATGATGAATTTTCAGTTCATACCACCTTATGTATATGAGTACTAACATTTTATAATGTCAATGTTATAAAACTGAGCTACAAAAATATTTTGTCATATATTTTTAATAGCTGTCATTTACAATCATTTTTCTTTCTTTTTTGAGACAGGGTTTCATTATGTGGTTCAGACTGGCTTTGAACTCATGGTGTAGCTGAGGCTGGACTTGAACTCGCAGTGGTGCTCCTGACTCAGCCTCCTAAGAACTGGGATCACGTTGTGAGCCACCACGCTCGGTTGTATTTCCAGAGTGTCAGTTTTTACTACATCCATTGTGGACTTTTGCAACCCATAATGAATGCATTCCTTGGGGGTAGTTGGTACATTACGTATAACATCTCAGTCCTTTTTATTCCTCTTTCCCTCCCCTTCCTCCCCTCTCCATCTCTAGATTCGCAGCCCTATTATCTATCTTTTTTTTTTTTTAAAATTTTGTGCAGGGTCTCACTACGCAGCTTGGACTCATAGCAATCCTCCTGTTTTCAGCCTCCCCAGCGCTGAGATAACACCACTCCCAGACTCCCTATTATCTATCTTTTATTTGGTTTTATGTTTGTATTTAGGTTTTCATTAAGTTTATTGGTGTATTTTAAATACATATACTGGGGCCGGGGAGATGGCTCAATAGAATCAGTACTTGTCCAGCAAGCGCAAGGGCCTGAGTTCAATCCCCAGTTCTGCTAAAAAAAAAATTAAAGTAAATAAATACACATATTGATTACTGTTATCACTTGAACTTTGTACCTTTTGGTGTGGATTTTAATAAAAGAACTAAAGCTGCGGCATGGTCCAGGTACACCGTGCGGAGGGTGAGCGGGGTTGGGTCTCTGGGTAAGGTGGTGAGGCCTTTATTCCAAAACAAGATCTAGCCTCTCCTCCCAAATCCCAGACCTATTTAAAGAATAAACATTCCGTTCTTGGTTGATTTGAAACACTGCCTTTATCAAACACTAAAATACCCAGGCACTGGGTCTGAGTTCAGACTCAGAATTCATGATGTCGCTGAGAAGCAACAGCCACCCACAAGACCTGTCCTGGAATATTACCGCTCAGGGCAATTGTTCTCTGGTTAAAGACTGTTACTGTAACAATATGGAAAACTGAGAACTTTTGTTTGAGACAGGAGCTCATTATCCAGTGCAGGCTGTGATCCTCCTGCCTCAGCTTCTTAGGTCCTGGGATTATAGGTGTGTGCCACCAGGCCCTGTGGAGAGAATGATTTTGTTGGGAGTTCTTTCTATAGTTCGTTATTTTTTATTTTTAAACATTTTTTTGCTTGCGGAACCAAGGATTGAACTCAGACCTTTGCGCTTCCCAGGGAAGCGCTTATTCCACTGAGTCATCTTCCCAGCCCCAGTTCTATAGTTCTTTCTACAGCTCTATAGTTCTTTCTATAGTTCCCTTTATGATGGGACTTAATCCCATTGTAAGTAGAAAATATAAAAAATTGGGACTATCTGTACTTAAAAAATTTGCGGTCGTTATGACTAAAACTTCAACCTGTTCTTTGAGCACTGAATTTCAACCTGCGTTTTGATCATTAGCATAGGATTACGCATTGCTGACAGGATGTGCAGTTGCTAGGTGGATGTGAAATCACCACTCAGGTCCAAGTGGCAGATCCTGGACATTTTAAGGAAGGCTTTCCCCAGTTGCCGCAGTCATTTTTCTGTGGTCCTGGCTGCTCTAAGCCGTCACCAGGCGAGGCGTGATTCGTGCAGCAGTAAAGGATAGCTGAAAGCACTGTTTCCTTTCCCCGCGACCTCCCAGATGTGCAGGGCAGGCACCCGAGGGAACTTCCGCCCACTTTCGAATCCTATATGGGCGCTGTGCTCGGCACCGAAGGAAGAAGCCGGCTCCCCGAGGTCGCACCACCGGAGGAGGTCCCTGGGGAGCCGTGGAGAAGGCGGGAGGGCGGGGCGGTTACTGCTCCGCGGAGCGCTGCGTCGGTCTCGGCTCCGCCTCCTCCCGCACGCACGCCGGCCCGCGGACCTTCTTCCCAGCGTCCCTTGCGTTTCCGCCCGGGCCGCCCCGTGGGGCGCCGGCTCAGCGCCCTTCCGCCCGCTCCCGCCTCGACCGAGCTCCCTGCGTGCCCCGCGCGCTGCACCGGGCGGGTGAGTGGGGAGGGGCCGGGCGGGGAGGGGCCTGGAGGGGAGGAGCCGGGAAGGGAGCGGCCGAGTGGGGAGGGGCCGGGCGGGCGGGCGGCGCCGGCGGGAGTGGGGTTCGGAGGCGATCCCCGAGCTGACCGACGGTTGAGCTCGTGCGGCGCGGCGCAGCCTCGGGCTGGCGCGGGCGGCCGGGACCGATTTTCGGACGGCGGCGGGACGCGCTCTGGAGCCACCCGGCCGGGAGGTCGCGCGTGCGCCGTGCGCGGCTCCCGGCTGTGTCGGTGCTGCTTGCTGACCGCAGAGGTCGGCCGCGGGGTGCGTTTGGAAGGGGGGCGGTGCGAGGGTGGAACGATCGGAATTTCTGACGTTTGGTTTGGCCGCGTGTCGCGCGTTGGAAAAATGTGTCAATTTAATTCAGTCTCTAAAAGTGTCCACTTTGTTTAGTGCGTTAGTGCATTCACAAGGTCGTACAGCCGTCACCATTGCCACCACCCCAAGAAGAAACCCTGGAGCCCGCTCACAGACACCACTCACACCCCCTGCCCCCAGCAGCACCCTGCTACTTCTTGGCTATGAATTTAGCGATTCTCCATGTTTGATAGAAGTGGAATTGTATTAGTCTGTTTCGCTTACTTTAGTAGAATAGTGTTTCCAAAGTTCTCCTGCACTGAAATATGTATCAGGGTTTCATTCTTTTTTTTTTTTTTTTTAAAGACTAAATAGACATGGATATCCTGCATGGATATCTACCACCCTTTGATTCTCTTAGCTGATGCACATTGATGACTTTGTAGAACTTTTATTAAAGTCTTGTCGCCCACAACTTGCAGTCAGAAGCAAAACCATTTTAGAAGTAAATTCTTAAGAAACCTTCATTTAACTCGGATTGAGTCAAGCGTTTCAGTGGCCACAGGTCTGTATCTTTTTAGGGTGTTTATCTTTTAAAGCTTTCTATTCTCAGCTCAGCACCGGTCTTGCGATTCAAAGCAGAGATGTGTTTGTGAGCAGATCTCAGGGAGGGAGAGGCCAGCAGACGAGTCCCCTTGTCTTCTTTCATGAAGGGCAGCGTGTGTCAGCAGCTTAGTGGCTTTAGCAGCCTGTTTTTTGGCATCTAACTGTGTGTGTGCAGGGACCGTTTACCCTGTTCTAGAAACTGGGTGTGGTCAGAGATGAGTGGATAGAACTTAGCTGTGGGAGAGAGGTTTTACCTAAAAATAGTTACAGTCCGCCCTCCTTACTCAGATTCTGCATTCGCAAATTCCGATATTCACTGACATTTATTTATAAGCCTTCCCTCCCCCATGGATACTCCTGGCCCTTTCTAGGGTTCCTGTGTGCCGCGTTGTATTTGAGTTACCCAGTGCACGTGCTCCCGACTGCTGCTGAACATGGGATGGCTTGCCTGCCCTCCACTCAAGCCTTGCCTGAGTGGAGTATGTACTTGGTGTGGCGCCGCAGTTTTGTGCTTTTTGTTGGTGTCACCATTTAAAATGTTCTATCCTAGTGCTGAAGTATTGTCTCCCTGCAGGAAGAGCTGAGGTTCTTTTCCTGAGCGTTGTTCGGCACAAGTTAGAGTGCTGCCGGTCATGAGCTCACCGAGCCGCACATAGAGCCTCCTGACTGTTGAGCAAGCTTGTGTTTCCATGAGGAGTGCTTTCCTAGGCACTGATGCGCTGTGCTCACAGGGGCACCAAGGACATAAGGACTGAGAGTCGACGTTAGGACCAGTAATTATTCAAGGGCAGGCCTAGTGTGAATAGTTTTCAGTGGGGGCTGGTGAGATGGCTCAGTGGTCTAAAGCACCTACTTAGAACAAGCTCAGCAAAGCACAGGGACCACGGTTCAATCCCCCAGCACCACATGCCAGCCAGCCCGCCCCCTGGTGGGCTGAGCTGGCCACACACACACACACACACACACACACACAAATAAATAAAATTAAAAAAGAAAAAGTGTTTAAAAAAAAAATAGTTTTCAGTGTATACAACTCTTAAAGTTTTTTCATTCCAGGCGTTCTTTCTTTAATTTCATAATGACAGGTTTAGGGAGCAGTTCAGAGCAGCCCGAAATGCTCTTCCGGGTGCTGTGCTCCTGTGCCTTGTGCACAGGAGGGTCTGCCCTTCCTTGGAGGCGGTGGAGGGCGCAGTGCAGCGGAGGCGTGACTGCAGTGTCATGCGTGCCTTGAAGTGTGTTTCAGATTCGCAGGGGACATTTAGAGCAGGGAGAGTGAACCCTGTGCAACAGCCCACTGAGGTGCACGTGCCGTAGGTTTGCTACTGCCGATTTAGAGCATGGCAAGGTACAGAAGGATTTAAACAAAAGATGACATTTGGAGATTGATTTTTTGCTTTTAATTTAAAAATATTTTCTACCCTGTTGCTCATTTTTTCCCAGCAGTGGGGCTTGTGTTGAGGACCCCATGCACGCTAACTAAGCACTATAGCACTGAACAACACCCTAGCCTTTTACTTTTTATTATTTTGAAACAGGTTCTCTCTAAGTTGCCCTGGCTGGCTGTGACTTGTGAGTCTCCTGTTACGTTGTCCTGAGTAGCTGGGGTTACAGGTGTGTGCCACCATGCATGGGTGTTGCTGATTTTATTTTTTAAGAAATACTATGATGGTATGTACATAAATGAAAATGAATGAAAGAACCTTGATGCCCAGTCCTGCCCATCACGCTGCTCTTGGTCTTCATGGTGAGAATCCCTCCTGCTTCTGGGTCTTGTCAGTTCCACCTCCTGTGAGCCCTGTCCGGAGTCTGTGCCGTCTCACCATCCCTTTGGTATAGTTGAGCTTTTGTTGTTTCCTCTGGGCGACTGCAGTAGGCTCCTAGCTGATGTCTCCCTTTGTTATTCACTGTCAACAAAGAACGTTCGGAGGCAGGACTGTAATCTTAACATTCTCAGTTGAAAGCTTGCCATTATGGGTACAGTAAGTCACACCTGTAATCCAGCTGATACAGGGACGTGAAACTCCCAACCTGGCCTGGATGAGTTCGTGTTCTCTAAAACCAAAGAATGAATTTTAGGAACAAACGGAGGTTGAGGGGGAAACTTTATTGGAAAGAAAAGCTTCTGTTGGAGAGGGACAGAAGGGGGGCCCAAGCGGGTTGTCCAGGAAGCTGTCTCTTTTAGGTTAATTTTATAGGGCAAAACCATGCGGGGCTAAGGTAGAGAAGAAGGGGTATCGCTTAGGTGGGTGTGGGGTGAGACAAAACCGTGGTCAGCCAATGGGATTGCGAGCACCATTGCTCAGGTAAAATTGATTAGGCCCAGGGCCAAATGGGGTAGCGAGTCATGTAGCAAGCAGGCATGAATGTAAAACAGGACCTTATCTGGTGGCCTTCAGACAGTGATTCTTTCTGAGTAATGAGCAATCCTGGATGCCAACCTTTAGGGAGGTTAGCATTTGTTTGGTCTTTAGGTCTGGCTCACAGCAGGAGCATCTCCCCCAGTAAGGTGTCTGGTCTTTGTCATCCCCTTCGAGGGCCTGACCCTGTCTGACTGCCAATAATATTTTTTTTTTTTTTTTCTTTCTTTTTTTTTTTTTTTTTTTTGCGGAACCAGGGATTGATCTCAGGCCCTTGCGCTTGCCAGGGAAGCGCTTATTCCACTGAGCCATCTCCCCAGCCACTGCCTATAATATTTCTATCTAACTCAGGCTGCCTGCAACACAGCCACTTGGGGGCCTGAGGCATGAGGATCACAAGTTCAAGGCCAGCCTGGGCAATTTAGCAAATCCCCGACCCCAGATAAAAACGGGTGTGGGTGTAGCTCAGTGATGGAGTTCTCCTGGTTTTGATTTCAGTATTAAAAAATTTTTTTTCATTGTTCTCTTGTGGTTTACAAAATAAAGTTTCAAGCTTTTTTGGGGGGGTGGCTTATATTACCCTTTGTGATTATGCCTTGTTTTGCTTTTAATAAAGAGGCGAAGAGACGGCATCAGATACATGCTTATCATCTTAGCACTTGAGAGGCTAAGGCAGGAGGATTGCTGTAAATTTCGGTTTCAAAACTGAAACTAGGGGCTGGGAAGATGGCTCAATACAATAAATGCTTTCCTGGCAAGCGCAGGGGCCTGAGTTCAATCCCCGGTTCCACCAAAAAACAAAACAACTGAAACTAAGATGAAAAGAGGTGATATAGCAGGAAGATTTCCTCACATAATGTGTCTCATTCCGTGTACTCCATCCTTCCTCCTCTCACCACCCTCCACAATAATTAGAAGTGCTTTTAGGTGGCAGAGAAACGGGCACAAAGAAGACATTCTTGCTGATCTTGTTTAACCTCTTAGTATCTTGAATTGAGTCTTGCTCAGACTCACCACCCCAGTTCAGGCTGTTTATCCAGCATCCTCAGAAGTGGTCACTTTTTAGTTCTCTGAGGAAAATACCACAATTCTTGCATCATATGATAAATGTATGTACAGAAGAACATCTTCATTTTTTGTCATAGGGGCCTGGTGGTACGCAAAGGTATCTTAGGATTCTAAGGACAAACTAAACAGGAAAAATAAAAGATTAATTGGAATATATCAAAGTGTGAAACTTCTCATCACAGACAGTTCTAAGCAGATGAGCAGGTAAACACACAGATCCTGTCTGCCAAAACGCTGGTGTCCCAGATCCACGAGGAAGCAGCCGAGTTAGGTCCTGGGACGAATCCACGCTGTGTTAGCCTCCAGCCGGCGCAGTCCGGTGTCGCCCTGCGTGCTGAGTGGCGTTAGCAGCCTGTGTCCTGCCCAGAGCAGTAAGAGATGCTTGCCGGTTAGCTCAGTTGTTTAAGCGCCTGCTTGGGCACACCCGGTCGGGCTTGCGGGACCACGGTTCGATCCCAGCTCCACATGCCACACCACACGTGCCCTTAAGGCAGCCTGAACCAGCCAGAAAAATCCAGAGTGGTAAGAGTACCACTTGCTTCTGTCCTTGTCAGTTTGGGGGATGTCTCTAGTTTTAGTCATTCTGATAGATGTAGAGTGGTAAAGCCTTATGGTTTTTAGTTCACAATTACTAGTGATACTGAGCTTTCTTTTTTCTCTGTGTGTCTTTTTTTTTTTTTTTAATTTTTTTTATTTTTATTTATTTGAGAGAGAGAGAGAGAGAGAGAGAGAGAGAGAGAGAGGTGTGTGTGTGTGTGTGTGTGGCCAGCTCAGACCACCAGGGGGCGGGGCTGGCTGGCATGTGGTGCTGGGGGATTGAACCGCGGTCCCTGATGCCTTGCCAAGCTTGTTCTAAGTAGGTGCTTTAGACCACTGAGCCATCTCTCCAGCCCTCTCTGTGTGTCTTGATAGTCCTGAGCTTTCCTTTGTGAGTATCTGATCAAGCCTTATGCTTACTTTAAGTTGGATTGTCATTTTTCTTATTGAGTTGGTGGTGTTCTGTATCTTTTTCATCATGAACAGGCGGAGAGGCCATACTTGGGGCCAAAATGCACTGAGTTGGGCCGCCCTGGGACACCCAGCCACAGGGAGTTGGTGCAGCTGCCAAACCAAGACCCCGAGAGCCAGCAGTCTCCCGCCTGCAGCGGTTTATTGAGCATTACCACCCTCACAGCAAGATGGGGCGCTCACTCAGCAAGAGCTTGAGGAGGGGGCCGCCAGGGCAGGGTCTTGCTCCTGCCGGGCTCACACCCCAGGAGAGCAGAGGAGGGGGCGCCCAGTGGGCAGTGCTGGCGCTCCAGCGATCTGGGGCTGGGAGCCCTGCGGGGCACAGTGACGGGCAGACAGTTGCAGAGACAGTGTGTGGGCAAAGCCCGAGCCACGAGCAGCTGGAGGCTTCGTCTTTTAGGGTGTGGGCAGTTTGATGCAGACGCCATGCGCTGACCAGATGGCAGTGTACAAATAACGTGCTGATCATGTGGTGAAAACACATTTTTATTTGTGGTAAAAATAGATTTTTGAAGAAAACATTTTTATCAGCTTTCCAAGAGAGTTCACAAGATAAGTCTTTAGCACGCAGGCCGTGCCGTGTGGCTGTCACAACATGGCCACTGCCCAAGTGATGACACTGGCACTCTGGGCTCCCGGGGGCGAGGAGCAGGATTCGCAGCGGAGCCTTCCCTCCACGCGGGGCTGTGTGCGTGACGGGCCTTTCAAGGGTGTCGTGACCAGCAGTGACCCCACCGCTGCGGGGCCTGGGTGGTGGGGGCCTCACAAGACTCCTGCTCTTCCAGCCCTGTGGGGCTGATCGTGGAGGCCACTGTGCCAGCTGGTGTCGCTGCAAGAGGGAGGAGGCCACCGGCTGCAGCAGACTTGTGTGGCCGAGACCCACTCTCCCTTGAGCCAAGTCATTCTCCTTTTCCTTTGTTTTCTGTCTGCGGTAGGGCCTCACCCTGGTGGGCACGAGCCACGGCCCTGGCCCACTGCCTTTCCGCTTATAATGACAAGATACACATAACAATAAAGACGTTAAATACATACATAAAGTGGTTCCTTTAACAAATAACTTGTTGGGCGTTCACTAGAGACTTTGACTAACCTGTTCCCAACAGCCTTTTAGTATCCATTGATGATTCTTACTGGAAGCTAATGCCATGTCGTTGTAATGAATAAATTTTAGAGGTTCTCCCTAATATTTCCTTTTACATATGAGGAAATTGGGGCACAGAGTGGTTAATCATTGTCCAGTTTAAGTAATACTTGCTGGAGCTGGGTATGGGACTGTACCTGACTTTGGAGTTTAAAACACACTTTATAACGGGTGGCCCGCGGGCAGATTTGCCCTGTTTTCATAAAGATTGGTATGCAGCAGAGGTCCTTCATTTACATACTTTCTCTGTCTACTTTCATGCTAAAATGCTGGCACTGAGTAGCTGTGACCAAGAACTAAAATATTTGTTAGCTGGTCCTTTACAGAAAAAAATCAGCTGGCTTTTATTTAATTTTATTTCTTTAGCACTACTGAGGATAAAACCCAGGGTTCTCAGTGACTGACTGCTGTCGCCATGCCCCTGTTTGTTTTAGTTTGATAGCAGGTCTTGTTAAATTGTCCAGATTGGTCTTGAACTCGTAACCCTCCTACTCAGCCTCTCTCCACCCTTTACATGCCTGTAGCTGGGATTATACGTGTGCACCATCATCCCTGGCTTGGTGGCCTTCATTTTATACAATAGATGTTTATATTTTTAATTAAAAGAATACACATGTATCTTTGAACACAAGTGGTATCAGAAATTTTACTTTGGAAAGTAAAATCCCCTGCGTGTAGCGGATCACCCAGTAGGTCCTTGAAGTGCGGGTTACTGGTCCTACTCATATTCTGCAGGTATGGGTGGGCCTGGGAATGTGCATTGCTAGTTGGTTTTCAGGTGCTGCTGCTGCTGCTTGCCCAGAGTCCCAGCAGGCCCAGTGTTTCCACTCTGTCCTTCCCAGACGTCTGGGGCCTCCTGTGTCGTCTTGCTTTGCGCTTTAGTTGCTTCCTTTCAATTTGTCTTCTCCCTCCAGCTGCCTTGTTTGCTCCTAGAAAATGGTTAGGTTATCGTGGCTTATATTTCAGTTTTGACCTACATAGACCAGAGTCATGTTACTCAGAATAGGTAGGTTTTTAAATATAACTCATTACTCATTCATACTGTTGATGTATGATTGATAAAAATGATGTGTATTTTGGTGTGCGGTGTGATGATCCGATGTGTGTTCCTCGTGAAATGGTCACCACAGTCAAGCTGCTTACCACACGCGTCACCTGCCGTAGTTACTCTGTTAGGAACATGTTCGCTGTTCTTTAGAGAGCATTTGTGTAATTTTAGTGTTGTAAATTTATGTTGCCGTTTACAACCGTGGCATGGCGCAGAAGATGTAAGAGTGTATAGAATCAGCGTCCAGTGCAAACCCCTAGAAGGGCCAGAGGGGCTGGCCTTAATCGAGACCCTCAGCGTGAGAGTCTTATAAGGACTGCCCTGAACTGAAGCGTCTGTGGGTTTGTATTTCTAGAACCAGGAAGCAGGTATAAAGTTCTAAGGAAGGATGTCAGTGCAGGAATTCATGGAGGGGCCCAGGAAGGATGGGAGGACAGGGCAGTGTCAGGGTGGTCTGTTATGTGACTGACAGTGGGCCTCGCCCAGTAAGTTGGAGTATGGGGAGGACGGGCCAGGGCATTCATTCCTAAAGAAAATTAAAAAAAAAAAAAATTTTTTTTTTTAAATTTTTATGAATTTAGGACAGGGTCTACAGGGTGTACGGGGTCTTGCTACATAGCTCAGACTTGTAGTGATTCTCCAGTTTTCAGCCTCCCAGGTACTGGGATTACAGGGGCACGCCACTAGGCCCAGTGTCTCAATTGCTGTCTCAGCATGCCCTGGGGTGGGGTTGGCATGGCACACTGGGGAAGGAAATGTGTTTTTTTCCACTGTGACTTGGGGCCCTGTAGGTTATCATTTATTTATTTATTTATTTATTTATTTATTATTTACTGGTTTTTTTTGAGATGGTCTCACTATGTGTTTCAGGCTGGTTTTGAACTCAGTATGTGGTCCATGCTGGCTTTGAACTCACAGCAAGCCTCCCGCCTCAGCCTCCTGAGTGCTGGGATTATAGTCATGGGACACCACGCTCAGCTGTAAGCTATCATTTAATCTATAGCCCTGCATTCTGGGAGGTTTTGGGCATGTGGCCCCCAAAGTCCCTTATCTCTACATGTTTACCTTATACATATCTCTGGCCAACACCTCCACAAATATATAAATGTAATTTAAAATTATAAATGTAATGCGTTCTCACTGTAAAAGTCACTTTAATAAGCCCTGTTATAGGGGCACGTATCTCCAGGAAGCTGGAGAAGTCCCTGTAGGCTTTTCAGTGGCTTGACAGACTGTAACTCAGCCCTGGCGTTGAAGTACAGAAAGTACCTGGCAGGCTGTCACACGTGGGGGTTTCATCTGACTCTCGAGGCTCTTGTCTTTTACCTTTAGCATTCTTTGAGGTCTTCTTTTTAATCTTTTGCTTATATAGAAGCCAACCAGAGCCACCATGTCTAGGACTGAAGAAGCAGTTCCTGGAGGAGGCGACAGCCACAGCCCTGCTGGAGGCAAGTCTGTGCTGTGCTTCGGGCAGGTAACCGTGGGGTTCTTCATCCAAAAGAATGAAGTTGTAGTGAATGAGCTGCAGGCAGCGCCACACTCTTGGAAGCCGGTTATTGTGTTTTTCCTTCAGATGCATTATTTGCATCTTTTAGGGAGTTACTTTTAGATCTAAATTTACTCATATGACAAAATTTTGTCATTGACATGATAACAAAATTCAAAACAAGACTACGTGAAAAGCCTTCCAGTTTCGCCATCATACCTGTCAGTGCCGTGCAGTTCTGTCTCTGGGGTCGCGTTCTTTGAGGATGGGTTCTGCATGTTGATGTGGGACGGCAGCAGCTACTAATTGAGTGGCTGGCAGGTGTGGTTCTAGGACCCCTGGGGCTTGCAAGATCTTTTCAGTGACTGTGAAGGTAAAATTAGTTTCCTGGCACCACTAAGATGCCACTTGCCTTCCCACACTGAAGCTGTCGCTGTACACAGTGGAGTTTTGCAGAATCCACATGCACATGGTGTCGTAGCTCGGCTGGCTGGTGGAATGGGTGCCCTCAGTTTCTCCCGGGGATAGGCCTAACCTGGGGAAGCAAACTCTGGGATCTCACTACTTTTTAAACACATTTTCAGTTGCTACATCGAAGGCCTAGTAAGGTGGACTGTAGTTCATTTCTTTGGCCCTGCACACGGTAGGCAAGTTCCCCATGAGCTGTGACCCCACGCCCAGCTCCCATGCAGTACTTTGGTACGTATGGGCATTGTGTACCAAATACTTTTTGGGAGTAGAAAGGGGTGCTGATATAGGCAGTGGCAGAAACGTCAGCTTGGTGTTCCCTTCTGATTCCAGTGCCAGTACAGTGCAGAAGAGTACCAGGCCATCCAGAGCGCCCTGCGGCAGAGGCTGGGCCCGGAGTACATCAGCAGCCGCATGGCCGGCGGTGGCCAGAAGGTAGGAGTCTCCAGCGTGGCACCTGGGGCCTGGGCAGCAGACTGCCGGTTGCTGTCACTGCCCACCCTGCAAACCCCCCGGTGACTGGATGTTTCCTTGTGCCTGTGGGAGTGGGCTCTAGGCTTGTCATCAGAAGTGGCCCTAGCCTTGTCTTGAGGCTTGCATAACTCCCATGCCAGGATTCTTTTGTCACCTTTTGAAAAGAAACCCTTTGGCCTTTGCTCCTAATTTTTTTTAAATTTATTTATTTATGTGTGTGTGTGGCCAGCTCAGCCCACCAGGGGGTGGGCTGGCTGGCATGTGGTGCTGGGGGATTGAACCGCGGTCCCTCTGCTTTGCTAAGCTTGTTCTAAGTAGGTGCCCCAGACCACTGAGCCATCTCACCAGCCCCTGCTCCTAATTTTAACAACTATCTTCTCCTTTACCTTTTCCTTTTCATTCTTTTTTTTTTTATTATTATTATACAACCTTTTATTTTTTTAAAAAATGTTTCTTTTTACAGAATATACTTTTTCATTAACAATTCCCACAAAGGGAAAGTAATTTATTACTTACAATTTTACATTTGTGGACCAATCATTCTAGAGCAAACAAAACACATTTGAGAATGAATTTGCAAGATCTCTTCCCTAAATTCAGAAACTCTCCAAGCTTTTCTTCCTGGGACTCAGAAATCTGTATTATGAAATATCAGCATTTCCTAATTTCAAAGTCTCTCTAGGATACAGAATAATTATCATTATCTGGTACCAACCAAACAGGCAGGGACATTTCCAAAGATTAAACACTATCTGATTTTCTGAAAAGTAGTTACTCATGAATTTCCTTTTGTCTGTTATTCCCAGGAAAAATGTGAAAGTACAGTCATGTATTATTCCCAGGAAAAATATAAAAGTATGGCCATGAATTGATAGTAATAAAGCTGAATTCTCTTTAAAAGATAAATTAAAAGGCAAAAGCTCATATGGAATGTTTAATTATACTGAGTCTTGTGAGTTGGGAGGCAGACCCATTAACTCACTAAAACACAGAACTCAGTCTCACTATTTCTTGGATACAATTCCTCTCAAATGTTTTCCTCAACCTTAAATGCTACAGATGACCATCTCAGAAGGCCTGATGAACTTGGCCGTTGCTTTTTGCTTACTGTGAGCTGAATAGCATGACAGAGCAGAAGCAAAGAGGCACACAGTCAGTCCTTAAAGTAGTAAGTCCAGAAGATGAGAGCTCACAGCATGGCAACAGCTTTGCAAATGCCCACGTCATGGTAGTTGAAGTAACAAAGCCCAGCAAAAGTTAAAGCTGAGAGTGCCAAAAGGCCTGCCTTGGCAGCTTTCTGGGGCACAGCTCCATGAACATAGTCTGTCACAACTTGTCCAAGGCCCCAGTGACTGTGGAGAGTGAGGGCTGCGGCCAGGGAGGAGTCCATTGCAGAGCAAAGATTCAAATACGCAGCAGGAAGCAGGCCCAGGAGCACAACACTGACTGCTCTTGCACTAGTCCAGTGGGCAGACGCAGCCTTGGAACCAGCATGGCAGCTTGGCGGCAGGTGAATGTGCTGGGCTCCGCACCATCCTGGAGATAGTCGGTCTTGGAGAAATGCTGAGACATGAGCAGGTTTTACCACTGGAGTTCGAAGAAACTGGCCTCGGGATCCCTGGGCCCCGCGGAGCACACTTAGCCTGCGTCGCCATCTTGCTTTTGAAGCCTCCTTTTCTTTCTTGTCTTCCTCTTTTTCCTTCTTTCTTTTTGGGGCTGACACTGGAACCCATGGCCTCCTCACGTTAATAAGCGGCGCTGTATGCCCGAGCTAGAGCCCTAGTGCCGCAGCAGTCTCTGAGGAAAGCACCGATGAGAAAGACTTAAGAAATGCTTCATTTTGGAAACTACTAGGTGAATAGATGCCTTTCTCCTTTGAGGCTCCTCCTTCCCCTCAGAGAGGCCATTATTCTAGCTAGCTGCATCTAGAAGATCTTTGAAATACATTTATTGAGAATTTCCGTGGAATCAAATAGTTCTGTCAAAACACATTGGAATAAATGAAGTAAATTTTACTTATATTGGGAGATGGCTCAGTGGAATAAGAGCTTCCCTAGCAAGCGCAAGGGCCTGAGTTCATTTTTTTTTGGCGGTACCGGGGATTGAACTCAAGACCTCGCGCTTGCCAGGCAAGCACTTATTCTACTGAGCTATCTCCCTGGCCCAAGGGCCTGAGTTCAATCCCCAGTTCTGTAAAAAAAAAAAAAAAAAAAAAAGCCAAGGAATTTTAACATAGCTTTATTTGATTTTTTTTTCCCTAGGTGTGTTACATTGAGGGTCACAAGGTGATCAGTCTGGCCAATGAGATGTTTGGGTACAACGGCTGGGCTCACTCTGTCACTCAGCAGAATGTGGGTGAGTGTGTGGCTGCGTCGAGCCGCTCCCCGCTTCAGCATCAGCCCTGCTCACACCCGTGTGGCTGTGGACTGCGCTAGGAGGAGTGGCTGCCGTGGGAGGCATGGGGCCACTGCCTGCAGCTGGCTCTCTTTCCACTTCTAGACTTCGTTGACCTCAACAATGGCAAGTTCTACGTGGGAGTCTGTGCATTTGTGAGGGTGCAGTTGAAGGTGAGGGTGATGAGTGGATGGCCACCTGGGAGGCTGGGTGGTGACAGGAAGCAGGGGGATGGGAGGGGCCCAGCAGGGGGGTACTGGCTGGAGGGCAGAGTCTCAGCCAGGCTGCCCCAGAGGCTGGCATTCATGTGACCCTCAAAGGAATTTTGAAAAATTCTGCCTTATTCATGTTTTTGACACTTAATTACCTATGTAGACAGTGGCAAAGGGTATATTTTCTAATATAGTAAAATGGGATGTTTTGAAATAAAGCCATTACTTTTTAAAAAAATGAGTAAGTCGCTAAGATGTTCAACTTGGCCCTAACTGCACAAACCTCTGGCCTCAGCACCGAGTAACTGGGATTAAAGATGTATGCCATGCACCCAGTTTACGTCTTTTGCTCATGTTTTGAGATGAGCTCCTGCTGTGTGGGCCATGCTGCCGTGGAACTTGTGTAGCCCAGGCTGGTCTCCAATTTGTGATCCTACTTTATCCTTCCAATTGGAGGTCAGCCTGGGCAACTTAGCAAAACAAAAATCTGCAAAGGGGCTGGGCCAGAGGTGGTGGCATGTGTGTGATCCCGGCCCTCAGGAGGCTAAGGCCAGAGGGTGGAGAGTTGAGGCTAGACTAGGACATATATGAGTTTGAGGCCAGTCTGAGACCCTGTCTCAAAAAAACTAGACCCCTCCAGGAAAGTGGGTGTTGGGATATAGCTTGATACTTCCTGGATTCAATCCCCAGTACCCACCAAAACAAAATGTGTTTTGGAGAAAACCTTTCCAGATACTGTTTTTCCTTCACCTCATATTAGGGATGAAACCCAGAGCTTCCTGCATGTTGGACAAGTGCTTTACCACTGAGCTATATCCTCAGCCCTTCCAGTGAATTTAAGACTACATATAGATCTATCTATCTATATCTATGTTTATATCTATATCTATCTTTTGTTTGTTTTTATCTTTTTGAGACAGGGTCTTGCTATGCAGTCCAGGTTGGCATTAAATTCACTATGTAGCCTAGGCTGGCCTCAAACTCATAGTGATCTTCCTGCCTTGGCCTCCTGAGAGTGCTGGGATTACAGGTGTGTGCCACCTTGCCTGGCTAGTATTTTTAAATTTAATTTTAGTTTATTTATTATTTGGTACAGGGTCTCGCTATGCAGCTGGGACTCATAGTGATTCTCCTGTCTCAGATTCCCAGGTGCTGAGATTATAGGCATGTGCTACCATGCCCAGTTTCTGTGGCCAGCAGGATGTGGGGCTGGCACAGCATGTGATATCAGTACTGGGGATTGAACGTTGGTCCTTATGCTTGCCAGGCAGGTGCTTAGACCCCGAGCTATCTCCCTAACGCCTGGCTAAGACTTTTAAGTATCTTCTGGGTTGTGTGATGATAGTTATTGTAAACACAACTATCAGATAATTGTGTTTATGTTAAGGAGACAACATAAATACATAAAAAAAAATTGTTTTTGTTATCAAGAATCAAACTCAGGGGGCTGGTGAGATGGCTCAGTGGTCTAAAGCACCTACTTGGAACAAGCTTGGCAAAGCACAGGGACTGCGGTTCGATCCCCCAGCACCACATGCCAGCCAGCCCCGCCCCCAGGTGGGCTGAGCTGGCCACACACACACACACACACACACACACACACACACACACTGAATAAATAAATGTTTAAAAAAAAAAAGAATCAAACTCAGGACCTGGTACTTGCCAGGCAGGTGCTGTGCCTGTTGAGCTATATGCTGGCCCCATACATCAAAATTTTAATACAAGTAAAATATATGGGAAATGCACATTTTCTTTTCTTTTTTTGTTTTTGCGGAACCAGGGGTTGAACTCAGGCCCTTGTGCTTGCCAGGGAAGTACTTATTGTACTGAACCATCTCCCTGGTCCCGGTGAAGGATTTTTTTTTTTGGCGGTCTGAAGTTGCCTTGAGGGTATCTCTGGTTTCCTGTAAGACTCTGGGTTCGAACCAGAGCATCTTGAGCCTGACTGCTTTGTTTAAGCAGGCACTTAAACAACTGAGCTAATGGGCAGGCCCCCAAAATTGTTGTCTTTCAGATCTCTGACCACTTTTTCTTTTTTTTTGCGGAACCGGGGATTGAACTCAGGGCCTTGCGCTTGCCAGGGAAGTGCTTATTCCACTGAGCTATCTCCCTGCCCACCCCCTTTTTTTTAAAAAAAAAATTATTTATTTGATACAAGGTCTCGCTATGCAGCTCAGAATCATAGTGGTTCTCCTGTTTCAGCCTCCCCAGTGCTGGGATTACAGGCGTGTACCACCATGTCTAGTTTTGGGGCTGCACAGTACATGGTACCAGGGATCGAACCTGGGTCCTTGAGCTTACCAGGCAGGTTCTTAGACCACTGAGCTATCTCACCAGGCCCCAGAAATGCACATTTTCATGAGATGGATGTTGCTGTTTTTTTTTCTTTTTCAGTATTCAGCTGGGCATGGTGGTGCATGCCTGTATACAATCCTGGCACTCAGAAGGCTGAGGCAGGAGGACCATTATGAGTTTGAGACCAGTCTGGGCCACAAAGTGAGGTCAAGGCTAGTCTGAGCTGCGTAGTGAGGCCCTGTCTCAAAAAAGACCAAAAATACATATGCATATATCAGTTGAATATCTTAAATGAGCATTCATTCATTTTATTTGATGTCTTAATTTTATAAATAGTTCGGGAAACCTAGATCACATACGTAGCTATGAATGGGCTTCTGTTACAGTTGAAGCCAAGAAGTGGGTACTGCATTGCTTATTACAAAATGAAAGGCTTTGCCACCCAGTGAGAGGCCTCAGATGCGGATTTGAAGTTGCCCTTTGCTTGGTAGTCTAGTGGTTTCCATCCTGTTGAGTAACACCACAGAAAGACGTAGGCTGGGTTAGAATGTGCCTGTCCTGTGTGGGGCTGGGAAGGGGACCAGTCTGACGTTTTGAGCACAGGCACAGTCCAAGCAGATCGGTCCTGAACACAGCCCTGGACGTGGATGGCTCACGCGCATCCTCTGTCCGTGGCCCCCTCAGCACGGCTCTGAGCTTGTGTGCTGTGGTGAGCACAGCTGCTTGAGGAGAGAGCAGCAGCCAGGCCAGGCCTGCAGCTTCTCATGTACACTCCTTCCCCACCCAGGACGGCGCCTATCATGAGGACGTAGGCTATGGTGTTAGCGAGGGCCTCAAGTCAAAGGCCCTGTCCCTGGAAAAGGCCCGGAAGGAGGCGGTGACGGATGGCCTGAAGCGGGCTCTCAGGTAAGGTGGGGGCGCCGGCCTCTGTCCAGCTCCCAGTTCATGGCAGTGTTTGCAAGAGGTGGCTATCGTGTGGGTTGGAGATCCAAATTAAACGGAGGGGTAAACTCACCCTTCCTGTGACCCTGTCTGTCCTGTTTCCTTTTTCCCCAGCGTTTGTGCTGAGGACTTCTGTTTTCAGGAACAAATGGTAGCACACTGTACAGCACGTCCCTGACTTCATGCGTCTGAGTTCTGAACGTTCCTGGGTATACTGGGTGATAGTCACTTTGTGGGATACAAATGAATCCGACTTGGGAACAGTTCTCCTGGCATGGACCTCCTTCGTTAGCTGGGGACTTAATGTGTTCTCTCTGCTGTGCTACTTCCTCAGAGATGTGTCCTGGCGACCTTTCCCCAGTGCCTTGCAGTGGCCCGCCTTTTCTCACTGTAACAGATACCTGGGATAAAGCAGCCCAGAGAGAGAAAACATTTGTTCCTGAAAACAGAAGTCCTCAGCACAAACGCTGGGGAAAAAGGAAACAATTTGGAGGTTTTAGGCCAGGACCTTTGAGGATCCCATGTGGGGCGTGCGTGTGGTGCAAGCAGGGGTGGGGGGCTGGGTCTCCTGTCCTTCCAGGGCAGGCAGCCAGTGACCCCAGGCCTCTCACGAGGTCCTACACTGCCCCCAGGACTGGGCCTTCCCACAGGAACTGGGTGGTGGACTGTCTGCCCGAGGGCTGTGCGGGTTGTGCTCACACTGTGCTCCCAGAGCGCAGCCCCGGCAGGAACGCAGCAGTGCTCGGGAACCAGAGGATGCACAGTGGTGTCTGCTTCCTCTGCTGCCGTTGAGAAAGGTGACACAGAGCTCTAATTCTGTTCTCTGATACCCAAGCCTGCAGTTCTTAACCCTGCTTTGCTTTCGTTCCTCTTACCTTTAGAAGTTTTGGGAATGCTCTTGGAAACTGTATTCTGGACAAAGACTACCTGAGGTCGCTGAATAAGCTTCCACGCCAGGTATGTTAGAAATGAGGGAGCGCAAGGGGTGCAGGGAGATTATATGGCAAGATAGAGGGGGATGTGAAGACTCAGCTGCTTACGGGGCTGGACTGTGTATTGCAGATTGTGAATGTTGGTGCCTGCAGGCATCATCATTCAGTTTTAAGAGGAGAAATTGAGCCTAGAATGTTTGTCTTACTTGTCTCCTGTGGAGAAGCCAGGCTGGGGATGGTCTACGAATCCTCAGACTGAGAACACGGGCCTCTGTGCAGCCCCAGTGCCACCTCCGTCACACTTGGAATCTCCGAGGCGGGCTCAGGCTGCTCTTCCCCCAGCTCAGCTACCTGCGGTGCAGGTCCCCTTTCGGTGCCCATCTCCGAGGTGCCCATAGCACATGTGGCCCGGTGAGCCGGAGCCTGGCCTGTCCCTTTTGCCCAGGAGGGCACCACTGCTTGCTCAGTGCCTCCTCTAGGCCTCTGCCTTGCTCCCACCTAGGGCCACATTGCCCTCCTTTTCTTTGTTTCAGTAGAGATGTGTGTATCTGTTGAAATTCCTATTTGTTTTTAGAATTATTATTGAATTCATTTTGCTTTTGTTAATGTTTTTTCTTTCTTTCTTTTTTTTTTTCTGTTGGTACCAGGAATCACACTCAGGGCCTCACACCTGTGAGGGAGGCGCTGTGCCGTTGACCTGCATGCCTAGCTTCTTAATTTTTGGCATCAGTGTTTCCAAAGGGTATTATTGATACATATCTTTTTTCTTTTTATGTATTTGGTACAGGGACTGACTATTCAGCTTTGACTGGTAGTTAGCCTCCTGTTTTCAGCCTTCCCCACACTGGGATTGCAGGTGTATGCCACCATGCCCTGTCTTGGTCACTAGTTCAGGGCACCTGGGGGTGGGGGCTGATGTGGCATGTGGTGCCGGGAGCTGAACCCTGGTCCCTGAGCTTGCCTAAGCAGTGCTGTGTCCACTTAGTCTCATCAGCCCTTCAATTTTTTAATTGTAAAAAACACAAAATTTATCATTTTCATTATTTTTAGTGTATGGTTGAGTAGTAAGTAGATTCATTGTTGTAAAACTCAGTCTAGAACTTTTGCATCTTGAAAAAAACAAACTGCCCCCTTCTTCCCTCCCTGCAGCTCTTCGCAGCTCCCGTTTCCGTTCTGTCTGTGCATGTGGCCACTGAGTACCTGCCTCTTTGCACTGGGCTTATGTCACGCCTTAATGCTTCAAGATTCAAATGTGGCAGTGCCCATGAGAATTTCCTTCTTTTTTAGGGCTGAGTATTGTTTTATGTGTATACCTTGTTTCCTAAACCCACCATTCTCTTGATGGACATTTGGGGCTGCTTCTCCCCCCGGCAGTGTGGAAATGCAGCTGTGAACACAGGCGTGCAATTGTCTCAGGAGGCGCAACGTGCAGTCCTTTTGGATGTAACTCCGAGGTGGGATTGCTGGAGCATATGAAACTTGTTTTATTTGTGGGTGGTGCTGGGAGTGGAACCCACGGCCTCGTGCACACTAGGTAGTACTCTGCCACTGAGCTACATCCCTACTGCTTTTTTTTTTTCCTTTTTGAGATGGTTTTGCTGAGTGGCCAGGCTGGCCTTGATCTTTTGATCTCCCTGCCCCAGCCTGGTAAGTACCTGGACTGTAGGCATGTGCCACTGCACCTTACTTATTAATATTTTAAAAACAAGTACCATTCTAATGGGTATAACTTCATTATGGTTTAGATTTGCACATCCAGATAATTAGTACATGAGTTCGAAATTTAGATTTTCAAACCCTTTGCCATTTTTAGTTGGGTTATTTGATGTTTGTTGTTTATTTCCAGTACTTTAAATATTCTAGCTTTTAACCCCTTATCCGATAATTTGATTTATAAATATTTTCTTGCATTCTGAGGGCTGTTTTAAGTTTTTCAGTTTGATGTAGTTCTAAAAAACCAGTCATTCCCCATACTTGGAAGGCTGAGGCAAGAGGACTGCCATGAATTCAAGACCAGCCTGGCATACAGAGCAAGACCCTGTGTCAGGAGTGAGGGGAGGATGGGGAGCAGGGAGACTGTAGGTGGGGGGAGAAGGAGGGTGAGAGAGAGACGGAGGAGAGGGCCAGGCAGAAAGAAAGAAAGGCAAAAAGAAGGAAGAAAAAAAGGAAAGAAAGGGGAGAATTTTCCAAGTAAAACGTTGATGTTCTTTGGAGTAAGGCAGAGAGGGGAGAAGAGTGGAGGAAAGTGGCAAAGTTGCGGTCAGCAGCACCTGCGGAGACCACTGATAGCCGGTGATGAGGTAGCGCAGGACACGGGCAGTGGCATGGGCTCAGCTCGGCTTTCTCAGGCAGATACTGCATTCCGTGTGACGAAGCCCGAATGAACATTAGAAATTTAAAATCCAAGGTGTCTAGTGCATATCAGAGCTGTTTTAAAATTAAATTTTCTTCCATTAAAAATAGATTGTCAAATCCAGTGTCATGAAGCTTTTTCTCTGTTTTTTTTCCTAGGAGTTTGATGGCTAGTGGTCTTACATTTAGTACTTCAATCTCCTTTTAGTTAATTTTTGTGTATGGTGTAAGGCACGAGGCACTGAAGAAACCACCTTGCTGAAGATCATCTGACCACGCACCCAGGGGTTGCTCCTGGGGTCTCCTGTCTTTTGGTCTTTGTGCCGGTCTTCATGATCACTGTAACTTTGTAATGTGTGTGAACTTTAGAGGTGTGAGTCTTCCAATTTTGTTCTTTGTTACTTGGACTTGTTGGGATTCCGTATGAATTTTAAGGTCAATTTTTTCTTTTTTTTTTTTTTTTGTGGTACCGGGGATTGAACTCAGGACCCTGCGCTTGCCAGGCAAGCGCTTAGTCTTCTGAGCTATCTCCCCAGCCAAGGTTAATTTTTGTATATCTGCAAAAATGCTGATGGTATTTTTCAAAGATTGCATTGAATTTATAAATACTTTGAGGGGGGCCTGCCCCTTAGCTCAGTTCTTTAAGTGGCTGCTTCAACAAAGCAGTCAGGCTTAGGTTGCTGTGGTTCGATCCCCACAACTCAAGCCAGCCAAACCTGCTCTGAAGGCATTCTGAGCAAAAAAAAAAAAAAAAAAATCCTTCTAGATACTTTGAGTAGTGTGAACATTACGTTATGTCTTCCAGTTTATGAACATAGAATTTCTTCTAATTAGTGTGCTTAATTTCTTTTAGTTTTCTTAAGTTTTCCATATATAAGTCTTTCATTTCCTTGGTTAGGTTTATTTTGTTTCTTTTTTTCCCCCTGTACAAGGGATTGGGCCCAGGGCCTTCACAATGAGCTACATCTCCATCCTTTATTTATTTATTTATTTATTTTAAGTTGCTAAGTTGCTTGGGGTTGGATTTAAACTTGTGGTCCTCTCCTCAGCCTCCCAGCTGTGTTCCTTGAAGTCCTTGCCTACTCCTTCTTTTGTTTCTGCTACCAAGGAAAACCACTTTAAAGTACATTTATTTGGACACACACACACACACACACACACACACACACACACGTAATCTGAACTTGTATCTTTCAGCATCTAATTCATTGTGCATGCTACATTTTCACTATTACATAATTTTCTGTTACAAGATAATGTAACTGTTTAGTTATTTTTGATTTTTTGAGGCAGGATCTCACTATGCAGTTCAGGCCGACCTTGAACTCGCTGTGTAGCCCAGGCTGGTCTTGATCTCACCAGTAGTCTTCCTGCATCAGCTTTCTAAGAGCCCAGCAATAACCACTTTTTCCCCTTCTGTCTTTAGGAGATACTTGGGTTTTTGGGTAGCTTTTGTCTATTTTGAATAAACCTGCTGTTAGCATGCTGTTGGATCCCATGTCCACTCATTTTTCACAGGACTTGGTGGGTCAGAAGGTTAGTATGTGCTTCGTTGTAGTCTTCCAGCTCCCTAGTATGGGTTGGACTTAAGCCTGGTACTTCCTAGTGTGATTGTACTAGTTCACATTCCCACGTAGCACTCTGGGACTCCCAGCTGTGCCATGTCCCTGACAGCAGTGATGGTGTCTTTTTCATTTTTCTCTAAGCTTATTTCTACTCATTTCCATGTAGATAAGCAATCTAACTATAATTTCCATTTTCAGATTATCATTATAGAAATGTGTTTCTCTTAATCTCATGTTCTGATAATTACCAGCACCAGTTTTCAGGTTTAAGACCTGGGAGCAATGATGATAGATTGTCACAATCCTTTTTCCAGGAGTCTGCAGGGCAGGGGACAGAAAGGAATGGGGAAAGGACGTTTCTCTTTTTTTCTTTCCTTAGCTGCCTCTTGAAGTGGATTTAACTACAGCAAAGAGACAGGACTTTGAACCGTCTGTGGAACAGGCAAGATATAATAGCTGTCGGCTAAACGTAGCTCTGGGACTCCCAAAACCACAGGAGGTGACCTCCCCTTGCAGACCAAGCCATGCGGGTGACCCCCACATTGTGCTACAAGGAGATAAGGCCAGCAGCTCTCGGTACGGGCCCAGGATCCCTCCATTCCCTCTCCTGCCCCTTCCATGTAGCTTAGGTCGCTGCCATTTCTGCCTTCAGCGCCAGCAAGTTGGTCTGTGTGCTTCCTCAGGACCCGTATCTGTCATCATTAACCTGGTTAACTCAGGAACTCACCTTTTTGCTCTTGGGATGCAGAAGCCTGACCTCGTCCACTGTCGAGAGTGACGCCACTTACCAGCGGAAGCTTCGGCAAAAGCAGCTGCAGCAGCAGTTCCGGGAACAGATGGAGAAGCAGCCACAGGTTCAGATACTTGCTCCAGCTGCAGTTGAGAAGCAGAGTGAGGGTGAGAGGGATGGGAGCAGAGGCCGGGACGTGTGCTCTGCAGGGGGAACTCTGGGAGCAGGGTGGCCCAGTCCTGTGCCAGTGACAGCGTGACTGGCTCCGACCTCACCCAGTTACATGTGGAATAGATGAGTCCAGGAGGGTGGTCGGGGAGCCCTGCCATACACTTTCCGTTTCTGAAGACGAGGATCTGTTTTTAGGGAGGCATGTAGGCCCTGACCTATCTTGTGGTTGTCTCTACATTAGAAAACCTTTGTTTCTGAGATGCTTTGAATATAAGGCCAAACTGGTTTTGAGGAAAATGGGATCTTTTGGTAGATTATCTATGAACTCTGGTTTTTTCAGGGTACAAATTCAGGGGGAGTAGTAGACGGATCAGGAGCTGGGAGGGGAAATGAGTTGCCCAGAGAGAAAACAAAAAACAGGCTCATCCCAGACCAGTGAGATTTGGCCTGTTTTCATACAAATGATGCAGGGGGCTGAGAGGACATGCTCCGTGTCTGGGTCATTGTTATCCTCTCAGCACTGACAGGTTGCAGCTGAAAAAAAGAAACAAGCTTACTGTCCTGGGCCTATCCTATCCTGAGTTATGAGCTATTGTAGATGTTCAGCTTTTGTCCATTTCTACCGCTCGCAGGGAGGGGGCAGGTGGGTTCTGGGGACCCCACTTTTACTAGACAACCATAGCCACAGCCGAGGCCACTGGGCTGGATGGCTTGTCTTCTGTTCTTGCTGGGAAAGAAGCTGCTTTTGCTTTTCCTATGTGGGTGAGAAGGAACAGATTGTGGTCTGGAGGTAGGACTGGCATCAGGTTCCTTTATGGCTGAGCCCGACATCGTCGGCATCTCTGCACTTCTGAGGCGCTTACAGCTAGAGCGGAGTAGACCCAGTGTCATTGGTTCCACTTAGGTGACTGATGGCTTGTCTTTTCTCTTCTGTGTGAACCACAGCAGTCCCTGCAGTCCTTCCTCCGACACATAGCACGCCCATCGGGGCTGTCTCAGAACCGCTCAGGGAGAAAGTAAGCCTTAAAGGTAAATGACTTAAAAAACCCAAAAACCAGTAACTCGTAAGCTACCATGTTGCATACTTTTGGGTCACAAAATACATCTTAAAAATACTAACAATCAGTTTTGGCTGAGTGCCTCGGCACATGCCTATAATGCCAGCCACCCAGGAGGGTGATGCACGAGGATCTCAAGTTTGAAGCCAGCCCAGACATTTTAACAAGACCTTGTCTCAAAAATTAAAAAGAGCTGGGAATCATTATTAAGAGTGCTTGCCTAGCATATATGAGGCCTTGAGTTCAGTCCCAGGTACTGGGGGAGAAAAATCTTTTCAATCCAATTTTTAGTGCCATAAGTTTTACAGGGAAGAGACCCTAAAGTTGATCGATGGGCTAACCAGTAGATGGCACATCTTCAGCTCCTCTGTTGTCTCAGTGAAATGCTTAGTGTCCTTTTAAGAGGTGGGAGAGAAATCGCAAAATCTAAGACATGGAGTTCTTTAGGTCCACTTTCCCAGTGCTGTGGGGACACTGTTGTTGTTAAAGGCACACTTCTCTGTGATCTCTGCAGAGAGTCTTGAAGACAACCTTGAAATGTGGGATCTGACTCCCGACTTAGAAGACATCGTGAAGCCCTTTTCTAAACCAGAACCAGCCCAGACCTCCGCCACCCCAGTCCTGAACCACCAGATCCCATACAGCCTCTGCTGCCAGAAGCCACAAGAAAAAGCTGGACCCTGGCAAGCCCAAGTTTACACTGCTAACCACCATGTGTCAGGTAGCAGCCGTGTGTTTCAAGAACAAAAAGTAAAGGATTCTGGGTTTTAATTCTGTACATTTTAAAGGAAGAAAGACATGTCATTTTAAGAACTTGGACAGAATCATCCCAACGCAGTAAGTGGGTTAGGGCCAGAACTTTTCCTTGGGGCTGGTGAGCGTCAGCCCTTTTTAGGCTTATGTAGTTGTAGGAAGCTGAGGCACAGCTGCTGTCAGGACTGCAGTGTCACATGGCCTGAGGTTAACAGGGAGCTGCCCTCCTCCTAAACACAGTTCATTGTTGGGGCTCTCAGTCTCAAATAGGATCTACCCGTTCAGTGTAGAAAGGATTAGCTGTTTAACTCCTTGTTTTAAAACCACGGCAGCCATACTCGAGCCATTTTATCTTCCACAGGAAACTGTGAGTCTCATAGGAAGAACCAGGACATGAAGAAAAGGAAACTGGATCCACCTTAACCAGAGGCTGTGGATAGCACTGGACTCTTAAAAATGAACTTAGGAAAACTTCCTTGTTGGTCATGAAATTGCTCATCACTCTTGGGAATGAATTTTATTTCTGAAGATATACCTTGACTCTTTCTGAACTTCATCCGAGGACTGTCAGACCTACTACAGAGAAAGCCAAGCACTTCATTTGTGGCTTGTCATGCACTGTGGTAGGAAGGGCAGAAGCAGAGGAAATACTTTGGCTCCTGAGGTTTTTCATTGTTTACTCTTAAGCTATTACAATAAAGATAGACACTTTTATAACTTCCAGCGGCTACCTGCCCTCCAGTCGAGCAGGTGTCGCGAGTCCTCCGCGCCAGCTGCAGCAGTTGCCAGTTAAATGGGTGAGCAGTCTCCATTTGGGCTCCATGGTCTTAATGCTGTCCATGGAAGTACTGTTTTATCCTGACAACAAGGGTATGTAGCGTGCTTCTTACTACTCTGCACAACAATCAAGGGTACAGCCCTCTCCATCTAATAACTAGAACCCCCCCAAAAAGCGTAGCTGAAGTGAAGTTGCAAAATAAGGCTCACGTGAACACAAGCAGTGTACAAGCTGATCTGGTAACTGGAAAGGCTTTTGAAGGTTGAGTAAGGGGCAGGCATCGCATACGCAGTGCAAGCTCTTGACCTGGTGGCACGGTGTAGGTGGCATGCAACTTAAGGACAAACCGTTTATTTCTCGCAAAAACTTTGGAAAGCTAAGCATGAATGGGGGGTACTTTATATCTCATTTATGGGTTCATGACATCAAAACCTTGTGTTCTTTCCAGACCAGCATTTTTTTCTAAATCAAAGAAAATGGTCTAAGATAAAAAGGCATTTTGAGGAAACATCCTTTTAGGAAAATAAAAATGGTATCCATTTTTATTTCAGATGTGAGCTGTGACTTACTCTACTATATGCCAAGTTTTCAGTGTGTGTTTTGTAATTATCCCCAGATGGATTTGTAAATTCTTTCAGGTGTATTTTTTTTTTTTTGGGGGGGGGGATGGAACCAAGGATTGAACTCCGGCCCTTGCACTTGCCAGGGAAGCTACTGAGCCATCTCCCCGGCCCCTGCAGGTGTATTTTGAGCTGTGTTGTCTCTCACTGCTGAAGAAGTGACAGAACTTTCTGCATCTCAGGCACACTTGTGGGAAGCTGTGAACTTGAGGCAACTCTAGAAGCAGCCAACCGTCTGCTCCTTGGGGAGATGAAGCAGCAGCAGCAGCAGCAGCTTGCCCCGATTTCCCTGTCTTCTAAAAGCCTGTGTGTGTGGCTTTGGTCGTGTACTCACCGCTTCCTTACCATTTTTCTCTACAGGACTAGTTAGTAGTAAAATCTTAGTTTAGGGCAAAACCGCTGCTAAATCAAGTTCCCTGGGAAGAGGTGGATGTATAGCTGTGTGGCAGAGCAGCACTCATCTGGCCCTGGTTTGGTTCCCAGCACCATTAGTTAAAAAAAAAAAAAAAAGGTTCCTGCAGAATTAGGAATCCAATTACAAATGGTGCACATCTTAAGAGCCAGTGAATACATGACAAAGGCATTTGCTAGAAATGAAACCCCACAGCTCAACAAAAGCAAGTTTGGTTTATTTGAACGTTTCATTAAATAAGTCTACAAAGGTAAGAAACTGAAGCACAAAGCGCAGTCTTACAAGAAGCGCAACACCCAGAGTTAGTGCAAAATGTACAATTAACGGCTGCTGGGATACCCCCAAGGTTTGACTGTTTATTTTTTTAAAACAGTGTACATTGTTAAATAATGTAAGGAAAACATTTATAATTCAAAAAGATCTTTGTAATGTGGAAAAAGATATTCAAAATGTATTATTAACACAAAAATAATTTAAACAGTTCAGTAGCACTAGTTTGTTCCTCTAGGCTTCAGCTGTTTCATCCATAGGAGGGGGAAAATCAACAGTAAACAAAACCAGTTATTTCTGGGTATGAATGAGACGACCTCAGAATTACTAAACCAAAATAACAAAACAGTAACGTGGCGCATCTGGCTCCCTCATTCCTCTGGTAGAAGGTACTGTTTCATTCACTGCAGGTGATCTCTTCCCATTTACTGGCACCTTCTTGGTTCTGTCTGTACTCTTTCTTATTCTTGCCACAAGAATGGTAAGCAGAGAATAAATTAGCCAGTACTTTTGAAGCAGGGCTTAAAACCCTGTCGCTTTCATTTCCCAACAACCCCCAGCACTCATTTGTTATCACTGGGCCTAGGCCAGCCAAGAAAGAAAACAGGGCCCAGAAAGGAACGAACAGGATTCAGGTAGCCACCGGCTCTTCCTGGGGTGGTGATGCCTGCAGTGTGCCCTTGAGGTGGGTATAGGCTGGAAATACATCAGCTTCCCAACTAAGTCAAGAGAAGAAGCACTCAAGACTTGAGTTGTAGCTGCTTGCTGTATCTTGTGAGAAGAATGAGATCCCAATCATAGCCAATTAGGACAGCATATCCGGAAAGCTCTGCAAGTTTTAGAACTGCCTGTAACTTTAGGCATAGAACTAAGTAATACTGGTTGGTTGCAGTTACTATTTAAGGGGAAGATGCATATGAAAATGAGAATGTTACTTAAAAATCTGGAAATAGAGGTGGCACAATACATTATGAATCTGCAACCACTTGGATATCACAGAGGAAATGGGTAGGAAGAAACCTTTCCTATAGTGCTTACTAGTCAGGAGGGCCCGCTTTGCACAGAACCCAGCACCCCACGCTGCCAAATGCATGGTGCATATGCAGCAAGAGGAAAGTAATCCACACAGGTTCTCAGAGCAACCTTCTCCATCTGTGACTCTTCGCTATCACACTGCCCAACTTCCAAAGTCAGCCTCTACCCTCTTCTTGTGCTTCATTTCTTCTTGATCTCACCTGTTCAGGCCCAGCTCAAATTAGACTTACGACAGTCACTGGCCAGGCATTCGTATCTTCAAAACAAATCTGTTCTCCATTCTTTAGACCTTCTAGGTTCACTCAGCTAACAGGTCCATCTTTTAAATTGTCCAATTTTGTTGTAACACCCCACTTCACTAGTCCTGAAACAGAACTTTCTGCTTTCAACCATGGATGCCAACTCAACTTCTCACCTTACTCATTTTATACCTGCTCTAGACAAAACTGTTGAATGACTTAAAAAAAAAAAAACCCTCTCAATTTCCCTTTGGCATATCCACTGTGGGGTCACATGGACCTAAGATTTCTTTCCATGTGCCTTTGCTGATCTGGAATCTGGTAAGCAATGCTAATGGCAGAAGCAATATAAGTCCAAGGCACTAAAATATCCAGCAAGCAATACTGGGAGAACAGAAGTATTCAAGTACAGTAATTATATAATTTTACATTCACATTTATTTATCTAATACAATGGAAGTACAAAGGAAAAAGTTAAAGTGTCTCAATAGTAAAGGAGAGAGCTAGCTTTTTTGTGTGAACTTTTTAAACCTTTCATACTTTACTCTTAAAACTACTGTTGTCCAACAACATATATCACAGTGTTTCCACATCAAAACTGATGGCAAAGTTACATGTCCGCAGGGAACGTATTTTTTTCCTTCCCCCCTAATTGCTAATGCTGCAGTCAAAGCTGCTAATGTCTTCTTCTGCTTAAAGCACTAATGACCTATCATAAGAAAGGGCTGCAACCCAGGCCCCTGGTATTTTCCACTGGGTTTCTAAAGGAGAGGCGAGTTAAAGTGAGGGTGGAGGACAGAGCTGGAGAGAACCCCATTTTTTTCATTTTACAGTTGAATTTTTGAGGGAGTAATGGATTTGGGTCATATACCACCATTAAGAACTCCATCACCTTGCAAATATGACAGATGAGGTTTAGTTTTACACCGAGCTCTCCTCCAGCTTCCTGATGAGATTTTCTTTCAGCCCTAGGCCTCAGCGTGGGGAAAGATAAAACAGGAAAGTATAGTCTGAAGCTGCCCTCCACAGCAAAGTTACTTTCTCCTCCTTGTCCACTCCAGCAGTGGAGGGGCATGGAGATTATTCTGAGGGCTCAAGGCGGTATTAAATACATTCCCTTCTGGCAAGAAATAACCAATTAAATGCAGCACTAGAAGTTAGTATACAGGTTACTTCTCCATCCCCCAGCCCTCAGCATTCTGTCTCTGGCTCCCAGATCTGCTCAGTCTCTAGGTCTAAGTGGTCCGCAGGTTGGAACCTGGCGGGTTGCTGATGGATTTCTGCAAGTTGCTGATGTTAAAATTCTGTAAGGATGCAGTTCCCACAGGCTGGAACTGACCAAGTGGCTGTGGAGCTGGGCCACCTGTCCCGCTCCACTGAGTGCCAAATGTGGTAGCTGGAAAACCGTACTGCTGTGGGGGGCACATAGACTTGGTGAAGTGACCTAGAGAGGTAGCCGATGCTGCAGAGATGGGGGCAGAGCCGCCCAGGTTCGAGGTCATGGAGATGCACAGCTGCCCAGGTGCAGAGAACTTCCTTGCCATGCCAGGACCCTGAGAATAAAACAGCTATACTTAAAGTCTGGAGAGGGTATAAGACCCAAGGGTGTGAAGTGGGCAGTACTCAATACAGTTCGAGAACTGAGACTGCTAGTCTTACAGGGCACAGCGAAACACAGCAATAGCTTTCATATTTACTGGCTCTATACTTAACGTGTGGGGGTGGAAATAACTTACTCTAACTGGAAGGAGGGGGAGGCATATACATTTGTGTGTACATGCAGTTCAGGACACTGAAGGAAAAGAGAAGAGAAATTTATCTGACCAATAAGAAGCTAAAGATTCAGGGAAGAAAAAGTTAAAGGGCATTTGGGTGATTTTTGCACTTGTTTTTCCAAGTGTTAAAATTCATGAGCTACTAAAGGAGGTCACTGGGCCAGGGAGATAGCTCAGTAGAATAAGCACTTCCCTGGCAAGTGCAAGGGCCTGAGTTCAATCCCCAATTCCACAAAAAAATAAAATTAAAAAATCAATATTCTAAAGGAGGTCATGGCATAAAATGGCACAGCAGCCTAGCAGTCTCAGTCGTTTGTACTCTCTGCAGTTCAGCTGTGCTAAACTGACACTGGTAACAGTAGGAAAATGGCAAAGAGGGAAGACTTACTTCGTAATTCATGTGTCCTTTGCTTCCCCTCCTGCCTGAAAGATTCATGGCGTCTCGGGCCCAGTTGTCCACCAGCTTGTGCAGGTCATCTGTGAATGTGCCCTTCCTGCTAGACGTCATGGCAGGAGGCTGAGCTTGGGCAGCTTGGCTGTTCACTGTTCCCCCGACAGTGTTTGTGCTGCTGGTCCCTGGAGGTATAAACAGCAACAATACCAGCATTAAAAGGAGCTTGGGTTATAATTCCAGGAAGAGGGAATTTATCACAGATGATGAATGACAAGCCACAGAATGGGGGGGAGGGGGATTGGGAAGCCATGCAAAAAAGGAAGACTCCAAGGTTTTATTTGGCCATTCGATTTTTTTTTTTTTTTTAAATAACGATGACAAAAAAAGTTTCTCTTAGTAGCTACAGGTAAAGCTGAACAATTTAGGATGATGGCAGGCATGAAGAGCAGGGGCCTCTTTCAAAGCACCTTAGGATTTGGGGACTGTCTGCCAGTGCGCTTTCCCAGCATCAGGCTGATGACGAGGGAGTATGATATGGTCCAAAAGGCTAGCTGCTGTGGAAATTTGCAGAATGCAAGGCAGAAGAATGGCTTTCTTGTGCACTGGGTAGGTTGAGGTAGGGATGCAGAGATCGCTGCTTAGCTATGGAGATGATGGAGCTCCCAAACCATGTAAATACTGCCATATTCTTAGCCATTCTTTAACAGCACAACAAGTAGCATGCTCTATTCAAAGTTTTTCTTACACCCATAAACAAAAATTTATAAGTATGAACTTGGAAGTAGCTAAGCCTTCAATTCCTCTCAATTTCTCATTAGTAAAGAACCAAGATTAGGCAGGAGGAAGAGAAGTGGCTAAGTGAATCAACTCCAGGAAGACAGTTTTCCTGAAGATGACCGTGGTTTCAGCTGATTGAAGGATTCTCACCCCTTCTGACTTCTAGAACAGCAAGCACTGCCATGTGGAAGCAACAGGACAACTCAGCTGAGGCAGGGGTGCAGAGGGGAAAGGATGCTTTGAGGTTATGATGGAGGTATTCTATTTCTATGGTCTGATGAAGAAGGAAGAAGGAATCTGTGTCCTGCCTGATTTCGGCTCTGCTGGAGGGCACACTGAAGGTTATTCGAAGAGGCAATTTTAGAGAAGAGGGAAAGAAGAGTCATGGTCTTATTTTTTATTCTTGAACAGCAACCCCCTTACCAGATCTCACATTTGCTAATTAGTAAGAGCTAGTCCAGTAAGCTGTGAGCCAGAAGGCCTTACAATACCCAAGTAATGCTGGGTGTGAATACGTACATGCATTTTTTTTGGTTTCAAGGTCAAAGCAGCACACAGCAGCACAGCTAAAGCAGCCCTTCCACTTAAAGCCCTTTCCATGTTCGTTATTTTTCTGTTTTACCCCCAAGGAATGGCACACACAAGCATGTCTGTGCTGCAGTGACAGCTAACTCTTGAGATGAGGCTGCAGAGGGCTGCAGAGTGAGGAAGGTCACATGCTTCTTACCACCAGGGCAAGACATGAAACTGCAGTGTGTGCGTCAGCTCACAGTGTTAGTGCTCGCACGGTGCAAAGGAAGGGGGATGCCCTTCTGGTACAGGAAACCCGGGTGGAAAAGAATGAAAGCATAGGAAGTGAGGATGGGCAGCCACGATGCTGAAGAGACCCAAAAGTGAGGGCAGGCATGCAGGAGGCAAATCCCTGTGCAGCAGGGTGGGGGACAATCAAAACAGAGAGATGACCACAAGTGAATGGCAAACATGAGGTGCTGGGGGGTGGACACACCAAACCAGAACTTGTGCGGGGAGGAGGTGTCACACCTCTCCAGGCAGATGTGACTTGCTCTTGTGCTCTAGGCCCATTAGGGCCAAATTCACTTTTCATTCTAATGGATATTACCCAATACTAGATTCTGAAAGTAGGGCTTATCCCACAAAGGAGAATCAACCACACACTTAACATTTTTATTCTGGCTGCTAGAAATAGATTTCCCATTAATAAAAGAAAAAATATCCCTGAGTATTCCTCTCATCAGTCTTGCAGCCATCTCCCTGTGACATGTACAGTGTGAGGGCAGAGGCCTT